AAAAAAAAAAAAAAAAAAGAAATATAATGTCTGTTCATTGCTCTAATTCAACTTTCAACATTCTTGTGACAGCAAAAAAACACCTGACAATGAATGCCAATGAACTCAGTAAGACCCCACCACATGTTGACACGAACACAGCTGTGAGACACTGATGCACCCGGTCACAAAACCCTAGTGAGTTGTTTGTACAGAGCTGCCAGTGTAAGTGCACGGTGGCAAGTTTGTGAACTTAATTGTCATACTCTGTATAATTTACCTTTCATTTCTTTATAGTTGATTATTTAAAGGAAAGGCTGGTAGTGAACTTCTATAGTGTAATGAATATGTAATTACTTTCTTACTGTAGAAGCTAAGGCATGTGAATGTCTTGAATACCTTTGAGGAGTAGTTAGAGTTCTCTGTTTCGGTTTCCTGCTACTAGGATCTGCTCTGGAATCAGTCGCTAGCCTGTCTGTCTTGGCTCTTCTCATCTCCTGGGATTCTTGGGGATCCTTTGTTGTTCTTGGTGAATGAAGCATTCTGTTGCTGGGTGTGGTGGTCTGGTGCTCATCTCCAGTCCTGGGTCTGTCTCCCAGGAGGGGTCTCGAGAAAGGGCTCTGCACAGCAGATGCTTCACACATGTGGTCTTGGTGTCGAGTGAGTGAAGGGGCAGCGTTGGTGCTGCGTGATGCATGTGGAGCCTGGTGGCCTTCACCCTGCCCTGTCACTGCCTCATGCTCCCGGGGGAAGCAGAAGGGAGCGAGTTCCATGGAACAAATCCAGTCTTTAGAGCTGATACAACTGAGTGGGTATTTCTGGGTGGGGTTACGACGTGTGGCTTATCTTCCTTCATTATAGTTTTCTGAACTTTGACAGTATGATACAAAAAACTTTGACAATGTAACTTTTATAATTGTGGAAAATAGTTTTGTTAAACTCTCTCCAAATGAAATTTCAAGAGACATTAATTTGTGTGGCTCACCTTGGTGCTTATATTCTGTTCTCAGCGGTCACCTTTGTCCCAGTGTCCAAGGTAAGCGGACGAGCGGAGGCTGATGACATCCTTGCCGCTGTCCGCCCAACCACAAGCCTTGTGACCATCATGCTGGCCAATAATGAGACCGGTGTCATCATGGTGAGTTGGCCATTTTTTCTTTTCAAGAAAATCTCATGGGGGGAGAAAGGTGACTTAGATTCTGATGGTATTTCGCAGCTAGGGCGTTATTTTTTCTTCTTTGATTTTGTAATTTTTTGTCCGTGCTTATTACTACGAATTTCTTTCATTCAGTTTTCATCAAATCAAAGCAGCATACTCTGTTTTCCCCACTCAGCCTATCCCTGAAATCAGTCACCGCATTAAGGCCCTGAACCAGAGGCGGGCAGCTGCTGGACTGCCCCCCGTCCTTGTGCACACAGACGCTGCACAGGCCCTGGGGAAAAGGCGTGTGGACGTGGAGGACCTGGGTGTGGACTTCCTCACAATTGTGGGGCACAAGGTACGTCCTCCTGGGGGGGACATGTTGTGTTGACTTAGAGGCCCACCTGGAACCCACAGCACTGGGGATCACGCATGTGTTGGCCCAGGGAGCCTTGCCAGCCTGTCCTGAGGAGGAACCCTGGGGGGCTATGGGGAACAGCGTCACAGAGGGAGACCAGTAGCAGCCCAGAAGATACTGACAAAGGCCAGGACAGGGATATGGGGCAGCAGGGACAGTGGGCAAAGTGGGGCAAAGCATCAAGTCTGAGGACAGAAGACAAGGTGGGGCTAGCAGGTCATGAGTGATGTGGGTAGCAGGCAGAGGCCACGTCAGCCACATGTAGAACCCCCAGATAGAAGAGGTGGGGTTCAAGAAATTGCTTTCCCTAACTTGATTTAAAATGCAGCTCTGGCCAGGGGCAGTGGCTCACGCCTGTGATCTCAGCACTTTAGGAGGCCAAGGTGGGAAGATCGCTTGAGCCCAGGAGTTGTAGACCAGCCTGGGCAACATAGCGAGAGTCCACAGCATAGTCCCAGCTACTCAAGATGCTAAGGCAAGAGGATCACTTGAGCCCAGGATCTTGTTGTGGTGCACTGTGGTGATGCCACTATGCTTTATCCAGTGACAGAGTCGAGACTCTAGTGACTCTGTCTTTTAGATGGAGTATGGGGAGAGTAGTTATTAGCGAAGACCCTTCTGAAGGTTTTGTTCTTCTTTCTGGCAGCCAACTAGGGCCTGAACTATTGCTGTTACTCTGTTTTGCAGCACAATCCTTAGCTGGTTTCCAAAGGCTGGCCCCACACTGTGGCACTTACCAGTTTTGCATCATACCAGTTGGAAACATGGACCCTCACGCAGGAAAAGGCTATGGCTATTTCTAGTTCCACGATTGCAAGAACTTTTATAAATTCTGTCCCATGATTGCAGGGTGCTCGGCCTGCCACAGAGCTGGGAACGGGTGTCTGGCACTACCTTGCCTGTTAGATTGGGGCTCTGCCCTGTGACTCCAGCAAGTCACATAGGTGACAGATGTTCAGCCAGGGGCCACAAGGCAGCACTGGGACCTCGTGTCGCGGGGCGTCCCTGCTGTGAGCCTACACGTGCTCAGCGCAGCACACTGTGCTCTGGGGAGTTCGTATAATAAGTGACTGCCCGTCTATTCCAGTTCTACGGTCCCAGGATTGGAGCACTTTACGTACGAGGGCTCGGTGAGCTCACCCCTCTGTACCCTATGCTGTTTGGAGGTGGACAGGAGCGGAATTTCAGGCCAGGGTAAGGTAGAAAGTTAGCAGAGTCTCTTCCCTATTGGTCATGCGTTTGTCTGTAGCGCAGCAACATTTTTAAGAAGTGTTCTGCTACTTGCTTGTCTCTTGGAAGCTCGGAGATAGCACACGTAGTCCATATTACTACTAACACAGACTTGGTTCTGCCAACTGTTTCCACACTCAGGATGCACAAGATCTGCAGTCTCTTTGGGGATGGTTCAAAGCAAGGGAGGAAATCTCTGTTTCTCTTAACTGCCTCAAACCGCGTGATTCCTCCTGTTATTTGGCCCAGTCCACTGAAGAGATGCTACTGGGCCTGTCCTGGCTGAGGGCTGCTGCTCCCTTCATTGTGGGGATTAGCAGATCCATGTGGACAAGCTCCCGGGCCCCCTGTGTACAGTGAGGTGTTAGCCGGGAAATTAGTACCAGCACCACACTTTTTTGCCAGAAACTTCACCATAAAAGGTGACTTCCCTGGGTTTTCTTTTTGCCTCACTATCCCTATTCACTTAGAGCTGAAGAGGCCAGCAACCCAGAAATGCCGGGAAGAGCAGACAGAACATTTCCCAACCAAAGCCTGCTCTCTCTGGCCTCAGCCCGGACAGGGACAGCCTAGCCAGACCGACCACTTTTAGACAGTACCCGTTTTACTCCAGACAAGTACTACGGGGTAGGGGCAGCCACCCACACCCACACCAGCAGAGGTCAAGTGGGAAACCAGACTTCTACCCACACGGGCTGTCATGAGACGTCCCCACCTACCAGCCTGAGGCAGCAGGCCCACCATGGTGTCATGGAGCCCCCAGGGGTAACCCAGACTTGTACTTCCACTTGGCCCTTCCCCTGCCAGAGCAATGTCAGAAAAAGCCAGCATACACAGAAAGGTTAAATAAAAATCGGCCTCTAACAACATGAACATGTCCAGATTTCAAATGAAAATCTCTTGTCATACCAGGAACCAGGAAGAAATGAAACTGAATGAAAAAAGATAACAAATGCCTGAGATGGCAAAGATGTGAAGCTCATCTAGCAAACACTCATGGCAGACACAAATCCGCTTCAGTGAGGAATCATGAACACGCTTGAAACAAATGAAGTAGAAAGTATCAACAAAGAGAAAGAAGATGTAAAGAAAAACCACATGGAAATTTCAAAGCTAAAAACTACAACAAAAATAAAAAGCCCAGGGGGCTCAGCAGCAGAATAGAGGGAAGGGGGGGGGGGAGTGTCAGCAGGACAGAAGCCTAACTAGAAAGGAGACAGACCGGGGACCGGTGAGATTGAAACAGATGATCTAACACTTCATTGAAGTCCTTGAAAGAGGAGAAAGAACCGGCAGACGAAGTACTTGGAGAAGTAATTAATTATAAGAAAAATTATACAAAGTGATAAAGAGATACCTCAAAAACATTACATGCATACTTCAAAATCAAATTCTGAAAA